CAGGCCTCTCTCATCTTTTTAAGTGGGAGAACTTGCACAATTGGTGGCTGACTAAATACTTTTTTGCCCCACAGTAGATTAGATAACAGAGTAGATATGGATGTTGGGATGCAGGTTACATGTTTCCAGTTGTCACTGAACATGTGAAATATCAGAACAGTTCTTTACTTTAAAGGTGGCAACTATAGTCAAGGAAGCCTTTGCAGCTCTATCTGGTGCACCAATTGCACCCCTTCTGAAATCAGGAAGCCCTTCAGATAATCATTCATGCCCTAGTCACCTCAAGCCTTGACTACTGCAATGTGTTTTACATGGGGCTGCCCTTGAAAACCACTTGGAAGCTTCAACTGGTCCAGAATATAACTCTGTGGGCAGTGATAAGCATGCCTTGGTATGCCCACACAATACCCGTGCTTTGCAAGCTACACTGGCTGCTTCTGGGTATGATTCAAGATGTTGGTTATCACCTAGAAAGCCCTACATGGCATGGGGCCAGGGTGAGGAACTCTCTATCTCCCAAGGGTTCTGCCAAGCTGGTATGTTCCAGCAGTGTTGGCGTGCTCTATGTTCCTTCAATCAAAGAGTGCCATCTATCAGAACCAAGGAAGGGTGCCTGGCTTCTGGAATAAGATCCCTTCTGAAAACTGTGTGGCTCCCACTCTGTTGGCATTCAACCTGAAGGTCTGGTTGGTCTCCCAGGTTTTGAGTTAAGATGGATGGAACCCCTTGTTGGATGTGTTTTATTTATGTTCTTGCACAGAACAACTAGATCCCATCTTGTTTTGTATTACTTTAGTATGATTTATTATATTGTGAGGGGCCCAATGTTGGGCATTGCCTAAATTCAAACAAACAAATAAACAAACAAAGCAGGCATGGATAGGGTGTCAGCTAGCTGCTTTCTCTGCACCCTTAAGCTTCCAGATAATTTGTACTGAAAACAGATGCAGAGTTTTCTGTAATTTAAGGCAGAAAACCTATGAAAACTCTAGTATAAGCTCCAAAATCGACCCTAAAACCCCCAGGGATTTCCCCACCAAACTGTCAGTCTCACCCATTGGGCATCTTGATTCTCCCATTGTTATGGGTGGCCACTCATCAGCAAGAAGATGCCCAGCTTTGCTTTAAAGAATTGTAAACATCCAAAATGTTAGGAGAAACATGTGTAAGAATTAGCAAATTCAGAATAATAATGTAGTTGGATGGCAAAAAGGTATGCTGAAAAAAATTACACTATTACTTTAAGGAATTGCAACTTGTTCACTGTAACACGTGACAGCACCTGGCCAGCCCTGGCTTGAACAAGCTACATAAGGTCAGATTTGGTTAGTGTTGTGGTAGAGGACCATCGGAACATTCCAGGGGAGTGGACTAGACTGTCAAATTATCATCCTTTGGGCATATGCAAAAACAAAACTGGAGAAATCTCTAATGCTGGGAAAAGTGGAAGAAAAGAGGACAACCAGTATTAAGATGGATAGGCTCAGTTACAGTGGCTAAGAATGCACCTTTGGAAGACCTGAAGGACCTGGTTGGGGACAGATTGTCCTAGAGAAGGTCAGCAAGTGTTGAAACACACTTGATAGCACATGATCAGACTAGACTGGGAAGTCCAAAAACCTCCCAAAAGAAGGCAGTGGGAAACCACTCCCATACTGCTGCCAGGAAAACTGTATGGGTGTGTCTGCTGGAAAAGATCTCCATTTGAGGGACTTTTCTAATTTGTTCCCCCAAGGACAAGCAGCTGGAGTCTTGGCCATTGTACAAGTATATAAAAGTACATTAAAATAACCCCAGAAAAAGATCTCAAGCGGATAAATACACGTACACACATCTTCATGTGAGACTTCGCCAAAATGAGAAATCAACTGTGTGACCAGGAACAAGCCAGCATGAAAACAAACAAGAGGAGCCTTTGAATCCCTCCTTCTAAAAAAAGAAAAGAAAAAGAGAGAGTAAGGAAGTAAATAAGCAGAGGCACGCAGCCTCTTCTGCGACTCTTTTCATCGCAGATGCTGGTGATTTTACCATTTATTCAAAACAAATTCCTCACATCCCTTCTTCCTACCAGCAGGACGCACCACCCTGGCTCTAAACGCCGCCTATAAGCACTAAGGCAGCGCCATCTATCGATCTCAGCCATTGGGCAATAACGGGAGGAAGCTGTTCGTCGTTTTCACCAGGGAAGGCAGAAAAACGGGGATCTTGATAAATAACGGAACCCCGCCCGGGCGAGGGTCCACCCACCTCCAGGGAGCCACCGTGGTGGGAATTAAACTGGGCCGGGCAAAAGGGCGGAAAGGGCGCCGGAGGACGAACGGCTCCCTCCCGCTCGTGCCTTGCAGGAGCACCTTGCGGCAGGCGGTAACCTCTTCTCCCGGAGTCGGTGTAATTCAGTTTTAAAGCCGCTTGGAAGCTGAGCTCGATTTCGGCCCTTTGTGCTCAAGCCGCGTTCGTACGTCTCGAATATTGTGTCTGCTTGTCATTCAGCCTTACAAGGATTGCCCCCCTTTTAACCTCTGCCTGCCTGCGGCCGTCCGAATGGCGGCAGCTCCGCACCGGTAGCCCGAATGTATCTTATGCATAACTAAGAGTGCTGCGTGGCAAGGATTTGGGAAACGGGTAACGCAAACGGAGGAGTATTCAGCCGCAAACGACGTGCCACGCACATGGAGCGCGCTAGGCTCTATAGCCGGGGTTCGGAAGACGCGGGTCACTCCGCGGAGACTGCGGCCCTTGGTCGCGCCGAGGCGGATGCCGGAAGTGGCCTCCCGGACCGCTCCTTCCGCTTCCGGGTGGCGGGCTGAGTCACTCTATAGTCTCTTCTTCGCTGCTCGCTGCCCGCACGGTCCCCCTTCCGTGTCAACCACCGGCCGGCCTCTCTCTCTCTTTCTCTCTCTTTCTCTCTCCCTTTCTCGCCGGGATGCCGCTGGAAAACCTGGAAGAGGAGGGCCTCCCCAAGAACCCCGACCTCCGGATCGCGCAGCTCCGCTTCCTGCTGAGCCTGCAGCCTCAATGTCCGGACCCCGCCGTGCGCCAGGAGCTCATGGCCGCCATCCGCCAGCACGGTAAGCGGGCGGGCGGGCGGAGCCGGGCCTTTGCTCAATCCAGGAGTTCCTAGACTTCTTGCCATCACACCTCCCTTTAGGGTTATCTTCAAGGTACACACCTCCCCTAACAATCCGGACACCAAAACGAACGCAGATGAACAAGGGAAACCATACAATGAAACTCCGGGAAAGGTGGGTTTATTGTAAAAGTTCTTCACGCCTCCCCGAGAGAGGTACAGCTCACAGTCTGGGAAACCCTGGCTTAATCCCTAGGGGAGTAGGGAGTGGAGAGTTTTCTGTACAGGCTCAGAGGAATAGGAAGTTGCGTTAAGCTGAGCGTCCCTGCCAGATGACTCTCCAGTCTCTGCTTGAGCCCATCTAACGAGGGGAAGGTGCCACCCTCCTCGCTGTCTGGTCCCACGGCCAAACTTGCCGTTCTTTGTCTCAAGTCCATACCGGTTGGTTCTCCTCCCCCTGGGATCATAAGGATCAAGCCATACCCATATTCTGTGTAACATCTCTTTTGTTGTTGTTGTTCAGTCGTTAAGTCGTGTCCGACTCTTCGTGACCCCATGAACCATATTGCGCCAGGCCTTCCTGTCCTTCACTGCCTCCCTGAGTTTGCTCAGTTTCATGCTCATTGCTTCAGTGATGCTAACTAACCATCTCGTCCTCTGCCGTCCTCTTCTCCTTTGATGCCTTTGAACTGTGGTGCTGGAGAAGACTCTTAAGAGCCCCCTGGACTGCTAGGAGGTCAGAACATCTCTTTAGGTGCTTGGAAAAAAAATGTAACTGCCCCACTGCTTTTCTCAAAGCTGCTTCAGCCTTTTCTGGTAAGACTTAGGTTTCCAGTCCCCTGATAATCCTTATTGCTTTTCTCTGCACTTGGATTCTCTGAATCCTTCTCAAAATGCAACGCCCAGAACTGGACTTCATACTGCAGATGGATCTGAGCAGGGCAGAGTAGATGGCTATTCAGCTTGTGATCAACTTCCAGAACTTTTTTGCAGGGGCTATGACCAAGGCAGGTAGATTTTTCCATCCTATACTTGAGCTTTTGTTTTTTTCCTCCTAATGCATAACTTTACATTTGTCTCTAAATGCATTATTTTGTTTTCAACACATTTCTTTAACAAATGATCATTTTGAATGTTCTTCCTCTTTTAGATCCAATTTTATTGCTTACCTCATTGTTTTCCTTCCTAACAAAACAATGTTCATGGACACTTATTATGTGTCAATTACCCTTCTGGCTAGCTTTCGACATTAAGTGTCAGCAGTGATTATTTATTACATTAATTCCATCACTCTCTGTAAAGCTGTTGAATACTTATTACTCAGGTAGTTAGGTAAATAGATAGATATTGCAGCAAGTAATTCATCTATATAATTATCTCCTCTGCTATCTTTGAGATTATTGCTTTCTTTTCTTGATATTTGTCTTCTGCTCTTCCACACTTGCATCTTGAGGAAACTCTATTGTGTTTTATTCCTTTGCTCTAAATATTATTATTCAGCTAACTTTATTTTATGGGAATTGTTCTCCTGTTCATGTGGGATATGAAAAGTCTATTCTGAGGGATATTATGTATGGGACAGGTAGTCCTTGAATTACAACTATTCATTCAGTGGCCGTTCGAAGTTATGACAGTGCTGAAAAAATGGACTTATGACTGGTCTCTGAAGTTACAGCCATTGCAGTGCCCCTGCAGTCAGGTGATCAAAATTCTGGGGCTTGGCAATGTGCCCACACTTATGACAACAAGGGCGCTTCAGTTCCCCTCACCTGCCTGTCTTCTCCCCCATCTCTGTCTTTTTGGCTGCTTGGGATATGCGCGGTGAGTGCGGCAGGGAAGCGGAGCCTAGTCTTCTGAAGAGATCTTGCCAGGCCTGGCTGGGGAGGAGGCAGCGTGACAGCAAGGCATGTCGCTCTCTGTTGCTGGGTGAAGCAGGAGAGCCAGTAGCGACTCCCCAAGCAAAGGTGGAAACTATGTGGGAGGTGCTGTTTGGGGTGGTGGCAGAACTGGAGGGAGCAAAGTGGTATCTTCCCCTTATTTTGACAGCAAACCTGTGGAGTGTATAGTCACAATCACCTAAACAAATATTTGAAGTATCTCAGTCTGATCAGTGCATTCCACTGGTCCTTCGCAGCAACCGGATGCAATTATTATTTCATACCCTTTTATGTTTTTGTTACTCTTGTTCTCGTTGAAGATACGATTTTATTGTATCTTTTCTGGTGATTTTTTTTTTCAGATATGGCCCCATATTATGAAAGCCTCTGCAAATCCCTTGACTGGCAGGTAGATACAGATTTATTGAATAAGATGAAGAAAGCAAATGAGGAAGAGTTGAAACGCCTGGATGATGAATTGGAAGATGCAGAGAAGAACCTGGGAGAAAGTGAAATCCGTGATGCCATGATGGCCAAAGCTGAGTATCTTTGTCGAATTGGGGACAAGGTAAGTGACCTGTTCAGGTTTCACAACTTGCCGCATGACTTAAACCCCAGTATTCCTTTAATGATGTCCATATTGAAAGTGAGTACACAACTGCCTTGAAACTGAGGAGCATACATGGCTTTTGAATGCTCTGCTGGGGCCACATTCCAAAAACTAATATACTAGAACAAAAGCTAATGTTGATTTGTTTTACATTTAATTAAAGCTAAATTAGTACGATTAGTCTCTAATCCAATATTTCATTATTTTCTTCAGTCACATTAAAAATTACTATTTGGTAATGCTGCCTAGTGGTTTCTGGGGACCATACCCAGGGTTGTCTGGCTATATCTAATTCCAAACAAACTTGCGTATGATGCTTTCAGAAGCTGCTATTGTATATGGGAATGATAACAATGTGAAAGGAGCTATAAAATAGGGTGAAATGACTTAGGGTTGTCCTGTGAAGCTCTGTGAGAATGTCTGTGTGTCAGATTGCATCTTCCCATAGATGCACACTGGGGTTGCTGAGAATTGGAGTTCAATCAGTCTGGAAGGCTACAGATTCCCTATCCCTTTGCTAAGAGTTTTGTTTCATTTTTGTCTTCATTTTGTTTTAACTAGATTGTTATTTTAAATGTCAGGTTTGGAGGAATTTGGAAGCCTTCTGGTGTAGAGTAAGGTAGAAATGCAGTAATAAGTAAAACGTAATGATAGCTATGTATATATTTTTTCCTTTTCCTTTTTTTACTGCATTCCTGTGGGTGAAGAGAGACCATTAATGCTATATAAATGGGAAATAACCAGAAATGCAATGATCTGTCTGGGATGCTTTAAGTTGGATTCCTCTACTGAGGAAGGGATTGGGCTCTTTAGTCTAAGCAGCTCTTTCTGATTCTGTGATGTGTCTGGTGTTGCAGAAATGCATGTCACAGTTCCCCAGATCACAGTCTTGTTGTCCATCTACGGGCCTACTAAGTGGGTAAATAACTTTTGACTTGGCCCAAGAACCACTTGTTTTCTTGTGCTAGCCACTGAATCTTCTTTTCTTTCAAGTCCTTTCTGCTTGCCTTATGTTCTATTACACTCTGGAGAAGGAAATTTCTGCCTGCTTTAGAGCTAAGTGCAACTTTTGTTATGTGGCTCTGTACCTCCCTTCTGAAATTGGTGGGGGATAATGCTAGTAAGTGAGCTACTGGAAGTCTGACCTTTACTCAAGATATTAGCAGAAGAATTGAATTGGAGAATTGTTCTTTGAAGTTTACTGTGAAGGTGTTGATCAGTGACTGTACCTCTGTGGCAGTATAACACTTGATTTAAGATGTTTGGTGGTGTCCCTAGGGTAAGCTGTATTTGATATGAAGTCATGCGTATCTGTCCTGTCTGTCCTTACCACGCTCTTTCTTTAGGAAGCTGCTCTAACTGCCTTTCGGAAGACATATGACAAAACTGTTGCTCTAGGACATCGGCTGGATATTGTGTTCTACTTGTTGCGAATCGGCCTGTTTTATATGGACAACGACCTTATTACACGGAACACTGAAAAGGCCAAAAGGTATCTTTTCTGTTAGAATGAAAGAATCTGGAGAAACTATATCTAAGGCATTGGTGGAATTTTGAACATAATTGTAAAGATAGTCTGATTGCAAGCGAATGGTTCTTTATGTCACCCAAAGGCTGACATTCAGAAATGCTAAATCAATGAAAAAATGTCAGAAATGCTGAAAAATGCAACTATATCTTTTAAAATGAAGATTTGGGGAAAAAATGAAATATGTAGTTAGGAAGGGTAACATTACTTTTAAAAACTGAAGTGCATTTTGTACCTGAAAAGTGCTATTTTATGGTTTCATGAAATATACAGTGGGGCAAAAAAGTATTTAGTCAGCCACCAATTGTGCAAGTTCTCCCATTTAAA